CCGCCGTTGGCTAGCCGGTCGCCGTGACCCCGCCCCCGAGGAACTGCAGCCGGAGCCCCGGGGGCTGGGGCCGCCTTAGGGGAGGAGCCTTACAGAACCCGCAGCCCCGCGGTAGCAGCGCCGAGTCCCCAGGGCTGGCGGCGGCGGCGGCGGCACCACCGGTGGCTCGTGCAGGTCCATGTTCGAAATTTTATTCTATGGAGGCTGGGGGGTACTGAAGGCAGGCCAGGGGTCAGCCCATCTCCGGTTGCTTCTCGGTCCCCTCAAGGGTCTCCCGTTTGTCCTCTCGGATCGGATTCTCCTGCTTTTGAATCTGGTCTGACTGCTGCTTGTACAACCACGAGGAGCTTCGCAGATTGAACATGGATATCCGCCGCCCCAGCTCGATGATCAGGCTTTCCTTCGACTTGTGATTACCGTGATTACCGTGGCCCGGGCGGGAGTGCCAGCCGACACCTCTGACGCCTGAGGGGACGGGGAGGCCGCGAGGCCGCGGAACTCAGCCGTACCCCTCCACCGTCCCCTCCACCGTCCGACCTGGTGGATCCCCTCGGACAGCCCCCTCTCCCGCTCCCTGGGCCCTCCTTGTGCCGGCGGCCCCACCTTCGAGGTCCTCGCGCTCCTTGGCCTTCTCATCGGTCTTCTAGGGGTTCTTGTCTTGGCAGCAGTCCATGGCCCCGGTGCGGCCCGCACTCCGGTGCCACCCACGCCTGCCCGGCCCCAGGCCCCGCTTTTGTGACCTTTTGTGATGTCAGATGTCTCAGATGTCCGGCCTCTGCGGCTCCCTGAGCCGCAACCCCGAACTACCCCGTTCCTCTCTCCCATCACAAAGGCTCAGGGTCACTGGGTGTCCAGCTGTTTATTTACAAAGCGGGCATAGGGGCTTTAGGGGCTGGCAGACCCAGGCCACTTCTTTTTTCTTCGTCTCGTCTGGGGAGCCCCCCGGGTCTGCTCCAAATCTGGGAGCTTCCGCTTGGTAGCTGCCTCCAAGGACGCCCAGAGTTCATCAGTCTCTGTGTCTCCTAGGGGCAGCCCGTCAGGCTCTTGAGTTTCTTGGGGCTCATCCTGTGAGTGGGAAGAAAGCTGAGGAGTCAGGAACACGGTGACAGACCCAGGGGAGAGGAGACCCTGGCCGGGATATAATCTCTCCGGGTAGCGCCACCTTTATTCCTCACACCCAGAAACCGTCCCCATCCATGCTCTCGGGTATGTATGTCACCCTCGGCAATAACCCTGTCAGGATTTTAACTGTTAACGCAACCCCTCGAGGAAATCTAACTTGGCAGGTAGACCGGTAGCCCCAGGTCTGCTGCCTCTCCTCCTTCTCTCCACAGGGGAATCCTAACACCTATGTCCTTGGCTCCCACATTCCGGTACCCAACCACTCACCTCCCAGTTATCCCTGCCTGACAGGAGGAGACAGTTCAGTCCAGACTTGAGATAAACCTGTAAAAGAAGGGGGCCGCCTTGAGAAACCTAGGCCTGCTGAGCTAGACAAAAACACAAATGGAAGGGAAGCAGCGCTCCAAGAGACCCCGAGTCAGGCTGAGGGGGTATGGTGCAGAGGGCGGGGCTCTCACCTTATGCTCCATTCCCCGGGGATTCTGGATCCGGTGTACCCTCAAGATTCTGTCCAAGCCACAGGAGGCTAGGAGGGGCTTTGAAGGGTGGCACTGCAACCCACGGACACTGCCGGCCAGCCCCTTCAGACAGCCCAGCAGACGCCCTGGAGAAGCGGAGAGTCATCCGCGCTAGCTGGCCGGCCCACAACCCACTGTTTACTGACTGTTCCCTGTTCCAGTCACTCTGCATTTCCACACGGAATCCACAACATAACCCTGAGACTGGAGTCGCAACGAATGTTTCCATGACACAGGAAAATGGAAACTAAGGCACAGGGAGCATAAGTCCAAAGTCGGTCAGCTTTGGCGAAATCCGAGTTTGAACCCAGTCAGTCTGGCACCTGAATGAGGCTCACTGGCTTCACTGCACCACCTCGGAGGGAATCCTGCCCTTCCAACCTGCCCCTCCCTTTCCCCAAGCACCCCCTAGCCCATTCACCTTGCCGAAAGTCAATTTCTGCCAGCTGCCCGTGAGTGTTCCCTACTATCACCGAACTGAGGAGACCAGAAGGAAGTAAGGTCAGCAGGAGCTTCCCAGAGCCCTTCCCGAGCCCCTCGCTCTCCCACTCATTCCCCTCCCTCCAAACACTCACCTGCCCCCAGGAGTGAGGGCCATGGCTGTCAGTGGGTACTCTCCGTAGGTGGCCTCTAGGACTGGTCGGCGCTGGGGAGAGGCCGGATCGTAGACACGGACCTACAGGAAGGCTGAGGCATCATGAGAGTATCCTTGCCCCACACATTACCCTACCCTCTGGCATCTCCGGATCTTCACCCCCTCCCCAGGCACCGCTTTCTTGTTTATAATCTGTTCTCAGAGAAACCTTCTCGTCTGAAACGTATGTCTCTTTTCTGAGCTTCGGGGTGTGGGGGAGAGCTGCTTGGCTAGAGGGAGTCGAGGGGAGCGATCCCACGGGTTGGAAACGTGTGAGCGTTCTACCACCCCTGCCTGCACTCCCATCCAGGGGGAACGGAGGGACAGAAAACCAAGCTGGCTCGCTGGTGGGTGCCGAATTTCAAGCAAAGAGATCAGCCTGAACGAGGAAGGTGAGAGGACGCCCTCACAGGTGTTTTGAGTGGCGGCTTCTCGCCAAGATCAGACCTTTGGTGTGCCAGAGCAAAGGAAGTGGGGCAAATGCGATGCATGACCGAGCCCTGCCTATGCCTCGGGACTTCTGATGAGACAGGCTGTAAGAATCCTCAGTGGGACCCTTCAGGTAAAGCCGAGGAGCTGAGGCCAGAGAGGGGAGGTCAGGCGTGGGTCCCAAAGCCAATCGGAAAGGCTGCATCAGGACCAGAAGTCTGTTCTCTCGGGACACCAGCACCCTGTGGATCCCACTGTGAAGGGAACATGCTCCCTTCCCCTCTCCTCTCCTCCAGGTAGGAGGGAAAAGAAGAGCCACCGTTAAGGAAACTCTGTCCTAGAATGTAATAAAGGAGAGTCACAGGCTCCGCAACAGGACTGGAACTGATAGGGAAGCACTTGCTCCTCCCAGAGCCCTGGGGGGTGAGAAGCGCAGCTGTGTCAAACCACGGAGGCGGGCTGTGAACTGAACGCGGAGACTATTTCTCAGGAGGCTGTGTTAGCCCAGCAGGAGGCGGAGTGAGGTGGTGCCTTGCCTGGTGGTACCCCGTGCAGGTGACAAGCTTCTGTGACCCAGGGAGGAACTGTATGTCCTGGTCCCAGATGGGAACCCGCAGGTCCAGCCAGTCATTCCGTACCTGGGGGGGCAGACAGAGGGGGGTCGGGGTCGTGAGGAGCTCAGCGTTGCCCCTCCTTCAGCCTTCCCTCGCCAGGTCCGAAAGCCCATATGGTCTCTGACTCGGTGGCCTCAGCCTCCCTCGACCTCAGACCTGACCCCTCCACGTCCCTGTTAACTCACGTTCTTGGCCCTGAACACGGGTTCCTCAGACCCCCGCAGGTCCCACAGCTTTAAGGCATTCTCCTTCCCGCCCGTGGCAACCACGTGTAGGTGTGTCGGGTCTTGGCGCATCCTACACACGCCAGGGCCCACCCTCAGTTCCAGGAGCTGAGAGGAATAGGAGATGAGAGTCAGTTCCGGGGTTCGCGACTGCCCCCCCCCCACCTAAAGTCCTCATTAGGCTCCCATCCCGGCCCCACTCTTCATCAGCTACCGGAGCAGGGGAGCCTCACTGGGTCAGAGGATGCCTCCTCGTCGTTGTCACTCCAGACTCTGAGAATCCCAGAATCCACACAGGTGATGAGGGTGCTGCAGACAGAGGGAGGACAGAGTTGAGATTTTTTTTTTTTTTACAAAGGGTGAAAGTGTCTTCTAGGATCTGGCCACAACTCGATTCCCTCCTAGCAGCCCAGTGGATAAAAAAAGCCTCAGCTGGGCTCAGTGGCTCAGCCTGTAATCCCACGCCTTTGGGAGGCTGAGGTGTGGGCAGGCGAGACCTCATCTCTACAATAAATAAAAAAAAAATAGCCGGGTGTGGTAGCGCGCGCCTGTAATTCCGGCTACTCGGAAGGCTGAGGCGGAAGGATTGCTGGCAGCAGGTCGAGGCTGCGGTGGCCGGGAGCGGCCACTGCACTCCAGTCTGGGCGACAGAGTGAGACTCCAACTCAAAAAAATAAAAATTAAAAAAAGCCTCTAGGTCACTGGGGCCAAGGCTGAACTTGCCAGTTTCCAGCTTCCCTGTCAATTCAGAGTACTCAACAAGAGGATCGACTACTGGTTTTATGAGTCAGGAAATGTAAGCTCGGAGAAATTAAGATCCGCCAATCAGCCACTTTCGATCCAGAGCTGGAAATCCAATCTGTGGCACTCCAAAGCAGATGGCTCTTGTTATTCCACAGCAGTGTCTGGAGGCACCCAGCCCTCCTCCTGATCTTTCCGAGTCTTGAGTCAGCTACCAGGGGCCCGGATCAGCAGTTCTGAGAGGACTAAAACACCAGCTTCCCTTTTCTGGGTCTCAGGCACTCAATGTCAGTCTCTCACTCAAACATTCCTCTCAACAAGTCGAAGCAAGCCTCTTCCCAGAAGCAGCCTGGGCCTGTGTTCTTTCCACACACCTGCCCACCCTCCCCAGGCGGGGCCCAGGCTCTGTATCACCTGCCCGGGTCGCAGCAACAGTCTCAGTCGCTTTCTCTCCCATCCATAGTCCCACGGCATCACTTCCCGCTCAGAAACGAACTCCCCACCACCCACAAAACAAAAGTGCAAATCAAATCTTCAACCTAGCACTTAAATTGGATCCCAACCGAATACGATGGCCATCTTGTATTAAAATGCTTCCTTGGCGTCAGCTTCCAAATGCCACGTACCCTGTAGCCTGCCGCTAAGCCTCGGCCTCTGGCCAGACAGTACCTTCCGTCCAGAATGCCCTCATCCCTTTCTCCGTCTGTCAAAATCCTACCCATCCTTCGGGGCCTAGTTCAAACGTCCCAACCCCACAGAGCCTCTTCAGACTTCACACCACCGAGCGTTCGCGGCCTGTCCACAGCCTTCTCTCTCCGCCTTCAAAGAAAGCTGGGCCAGCCACCCAAGCACTAGCGCCTGGAGCGTCATCGCCTCCTCGGTGGTTGGAAAGGACACGAGATGGAGTCAGCCGGGCTTGGTGGCTCCCGCCTGCGATCCCAGCGCTTCGGGAGGTGGAGGCGAGAGGACTGCCCGAGCCCACGGGTTCCAGACCAGCCCAGGCACCGTGGCGAGACCTCGTCTCCACGAGAAACCGAAACGCTAGCCGGCGTGAGGGCGCTTGCCTGGCCTGTGGTTGCAGCGACTTGGAAGGCCGAGGTGGAAGGATCGCCCGAGCCCAACAGGGGGAGACTGCGGTGGCCCTGAGCGCGCCGCTGCACTCCGGCCTGGGCGGCAGGGGGAGAGTCAGACTCGAAAAGCAAAGCAAAACAACACAGCACGCTCCGAACTATCAAATGAGCTCGCCCAGGGTTACCCAGACGGTTATAACGGAGCCCAGAGACGAAGCCTGGAGTATGAGAGCTTTTCGAAGACAGATAGTTCACCTGCAGCCCCCGCACTTCGCTCTCCGCCTGGAACCCAGTAGATGTTCCATAAACGTGCGCCACGGGTACCAACCAGAGAAGGCAAAACCCGGGCTCCTGTCGCCCACCCTAGGCCGCGTCGCTCGAGAGTCTGTCGCCATGATTGCGTCGTCCGTCCCGAGGGAGCCTCGACCCTCTCCCCTCTCTCCACCCTCCACTCGCCAAGAGTCCTGCTGGGGGCTCGGTCTTACCCATCGGCCTGGGCGAGGCCCCGGAACGTGCCCTCCCCGCCGGG